AAAGAGGGAGGGGGTGGGGGGAGAGAGAGAGAGCAAGCAAGCTACCAGGTCTGGGACTCGAACTGCTGTTGGCCATGTGAGAGTCCAGCACCTTGAACTACCACGCCACCCGCCAGCCCCTTGTATGTTCTTTAAAAGTGGGGCCGTCAACTGTCCTCACCCTGTGCCACCCACATGTTGTACTTCCATGGTCAATGACATCGACATTTCTATTTTTTTTCCTCAAACATATAACATTTTAGCCATTTGTGAAATAGATCAGTTGCTGCCTCCTGTTTTAGCATGTATAGTATTTCACACCTCAGGAAATGTTTCCTTAGTTTGGATATGTTTAGAAACCTATTTTATAAGGTGTTAGATCTGGACTTGAAATCTTGCCCTTTTATTTTTGGCCTGACTAATTAAAACAGTTGAAGACTGGTAAGATTCCTCCTTGGTCTGTGTAAAACAGACCGATAATCTGATTTACCTTGGCTGTCTGCCTCCCCGAGGAGGCAGCGTATGCGGTGGTTAGGAGGAAGGGCTTCCCTGGGTTGGAACCGAGCACTGCTGCTTATTGGCTGTGCGCCTTGGTTTCTTTTCTGTGGGATAGTAGGGTTTTTGAGGATTAAATGAATCATCTTTCAGTATATGTCAGCTGCTATAATTCTGAGTTGTACTGTTGCCCAGTTCGACAGTGTGGGGTTTGCTGTACTTTATTAGGAAGGTAATTTAAAGACCCATCTTGGCTAATGATTTCATTCAAAGTCTTCCTGTGCTTTTTTTTTTTTTTTTTTCACGACAAAGCGAGTGAGCAAGAGAGAGAGACAAAGCACCCTCAACAGGGTCCCACTCTGCCATCCTGCCCCCAGCCTTTCCAAGCAGCCGTGATCACGGGCATGTGTGCATGTGCTCAGCACAGACAGGTCAACCAAGGACTCAAACCCTGATCTTCCATGTGACTTTCCGCATTACAGACCTGTGCCTCACCACTGTACTATCGTGGTTGAGCTATTGGCATTTTACAGAAATTTAGCCTACTTGCCACCTTAGATTATATTCTTAGCTTATTACATGCTATAATGTGTTACCCAAATGTAAATAATTTGTTTTTCTTTTTTTGAAAATTTGCCAGAGGGCATATGCATTCAGCAGAATGAGACAGGAGGGAAATGAGAAAGTGCTCCCCATGGAGGGTGGCCATGCTGCAATCCCTTCTCCATTTCTCCCTGCTTTTGGGATTTGGGGCATGCATACACACATGCCCAGTGTGTTTTAGTTTTTGTTCTTCTTAAGGTTTTGCCATAGGGTGCGTGTGTTCATCACAGAGACAGTGAGAGGGAAGGTGAAAAATCATCCCTCTTCCCACGGGGATGACCATACTGCAATCCCTTCTTCACTTTTCTCCTCTTGGGATTTTGGGCACGCACACACATGCACTTGGCATGATTTTCAAGCTATCAGGTCTGTAACTCAAATCTTGGTCGGCCATGTAGGAGTCCAGTGCCTTAACACCACACTACCTTCTGGCCCCTCGAATATATTTTCATTAGGTTTTATAAAGTTAAATTCCTCCCACTTTGCTACATGGGTGTTCTTTGTGAGAATTCATTAAGTTATATACCATGACTTGTAAACTTTTCTGAAAAACATCTTACCTAAATAAAATGTGCTGTGTATGTTTTGAAAGTTCCTTTTACTAACATAGTTGAGATGTTGCTTCTCCCTCTTGTAGGTCTCTTTTGCCTAGACCAGCATTCTTGATTTTCTGTGTTTCCTTTGCAGGGCAAAAGGACAAACTTGCGTAAAACTGGGTCAGAAAGGATTGCTCATGGAATGAGGGTGAAATTCAACCCACTGGCTTTACTTCTAGATTCATCTTTGGAGGGAGAGTTCGACCTTGTCCAGAGGATTATCTATGAGGTATGAGTTAGTGAGTAAATTTCTTGAATATGACCTTGTATTTTGTTTTTAAGCTCTAATTATAAAGTTATGATCGAGAAGATGTATTTGCCATTCTTTTCTTTTAGGGAATTACAGGGTTGTGTTGAGGAACTCTTGTGAGTGTTCCAAAATAGGCTATGTTGTTTTAAAGATGTTATTAGAAATGTCTAAGTTTAGTTTCCACTTGGAGTCCTCTAGAGTACTTTCCTTTCTCAGGGAGGGCATCGCTCTCCTCTAGAGATTGTACATGTGGGGCCAGCAGGAGGCATGGTGGTTAAGTTGCCAGACTCCTACATGGCCGACCTTGGGTCCGTTCCCAGACCTGGTAGTTTGCTTTCTCACTTTCTCTGTCTTTCTCTGGTGATAGCACATGCCCAATAGCAAATTAAAAAATAATAAATAAAATGAAATACTTCTAAAAAATTGTACATGTATGGATTTGTATTCTATAGTATTAAGTTAGAGATGTGGTCCTTACTTTCAGAAACCTACTATTTAGAATATTTTTAGTTGACCTTTATTTTCTTTCCATAGCAAATATAACTTCTACTTAGAAGCTAATTTGTGGTAGGAAGTTGGGAGAATAAACAAAAATGGGTATAAGGATACAGGTTCTGGTACTACTTTTCCATGTCTTAAAAGCCTTTTTATAGTGGGTACCTACTTAATGTGGTTATTCTCTCCATCTTATTTCTAGAATTGTTCTTGATTTAGTTTGCTTGGCTCCTGTAGGTTTTAATTATGTTTAAGGACAAGTTTCAGGAGAGTTTATTTCTGTTCTTTTGACTCTAAGGAGCCAGGTTAGTTGTGACAAGTCAGTCAGCAGTGACATCAGGTGACAGGAGCTGGGAGTGACGCTCACCCTTCTTTTTCATACAGGTTGATGACCCCAGCCTGCCCAATGACGAAGGCATCACAGCTCTGCACAACGCCGTGTGTGCAGGCCACACAGAGATCGTCAAGTTCCTCGTACAGTTCGGTGTGAACGTAAATGCTGCTGATAGTGATGGATGGTAAGACTGTCTTTGAAACTCAGTCAGACTTTAACAGTGGGTACGTGTAGTCCTACTGGGTAAATGTGCTACGGAGTCACTATCCCTAATCAAAACATCCAAAATCTGAAACGTTCTAAACTTTGAAGCATTTAAAAAATTATTTATCAAATTTTATTATTATTGTTGTTATTTAATTTGCAATAGGGCATGTGCACACCACCAGTGAGAGATAGGCGTGCAAAGCAAGAAAGCAAGCCACCAGGTCCAGGACTCAAACTACAGTTGGCCATGTGGGAGTCTAGCACTTTAACCACTGTTAAAGTGGCCCAAATTGAAGCTTTTTGAGTGTTGACATGATACCTTAAGTGGTAAATTTCACACCTTGATCTCACATGATGGGTTACAGTCAAAATACTGCAATACAAAAATATTACATAAAGTGACTTTCAGGTTCTGTGTATACAGTGTGTATGAAACATAAATGAATGACTTGTTTAAACTTGGGTCCTACCTTCAGTATATCTCATTATGTATGTAGACGTTCAGAAAGTAAAAATTCACACTTCTGGTCCTAAGCATTTTGGATAAGGAGTACTTATGTTGTGTGTGTGTGTGTATATGTTGTTATAAATAATGCTTAGGTCAGTTGGTGGCATGGTGGTTAAGGTGGTAGGATCCCACATTGCCAGCTGTGCAGTTTGAGTTCTGGACCTGGCAGCTCGAGAAATATGCTGGGTGAGTGTGTAGATTGGAAAATTAAAAAAAAAAAAAATTTAAAGACTTTGTACCTACAGGGAATAAAATGAAGGGGAGAGGAAAGAGCAAAGAAAAAAAAATTAAAAAAAAACAAAACAAGTCTTAAATACTTCAGAGCCTGATTAACTTTCTCAAGCTAGAGTCATTTGTAATTTATCATAAAACATTTGAGATACATTATTGATACCATTTCTTCAATGGTATCAATAAGTTCTTGCTAATGAGTTACCTAAAATAGATTGAAATATGTATATGTCAGTCATTTTATTGATCTGAGTTAAATTGACATATTTTGGGGGCCCAGCAAGTGACATAGTGGTTAAGGCTCTGGACTCGCGTGTGACCAACTGAGGTTTGAGTCCTGGAGCCGGTGGCTTGAAACTCAGGCTGTGTGTGTGTGTGTGTGTGTGTGTGTGTGTGTGTGTGTGTGTATGTGTGTGTGTATACCTAAAATCCTGAGAGGAGATTGGAGGAGAAGGGATTGTGGTGTGACCATCCCCCCAGGGGGTGATTTCTCACTTTCTGTCTCTCCGGAGAGTGCATGTGCCTTATAGTTGATTTAGTTTGCTTGGCTCCTGTAGGTTTTAATTATGTTTAAGGACAAGTTTCAGGAGAGTTTATTTCTGTTCTTTTGACTCTAAGGAGCCAGGTTAGTTGTGACAAGTCAGTCAGCAGTGACATCAGGTGACAGGAGCTGGGAGTGACGCTCACCCTTCTTTTTCATACAGGTTGATGACCCCAGCCTGCCCAATGACGAAGGCATCACAGCTCTGCACAACGCCGTGTGTGCAGGCCACACAGAGATCGTCAAGTTCCTCGTACAGTTCGGTGTGAACGTAAATGCTGCTGATAGTGATGGATGGTAAGACTGTCTTTGAAACTCAGTCAGACTTTAACAGTGGGTACGTGTAGTCCTACTGGGTAAATGTGCTACGGAGTCACTATCCCTAATCAAAACATCCAAAATCTGAAACGTTCTAAACTTTGAAGCATTTAAAAAATTATTTATCAAATTTTATTATTATTGTTGTTATTTAATTTGCAATAGGGCATGTGCACACCACCAGTGAGAGATAGGCGTGCAAAGCAAGAAAGCAAGCCACCAGGTCCAGGACTCAAACTACAGTTGGCCATGTGGGAGTCTAGCACTTTAACCACTGTTAAAGTGGCCCAAATTGAAGCTTTTTGAGTGTTGACATGATACCTTAAGTGGTAAATTTCACACCTTGATCTCACATGATGGGTTACAGTCAAAATACTGCAATACAAAAATATTACATAAAGTGACTTTCAGGTTCTGTGTATACAGTGTGTATGAAACATAAATGAATGACTTGTTTAAACTTGGGTCCTACCTTCAGTATATCTCATTATGTATGTAGACGTTCAGAAAGTAAAAATTCACACTTCTGGTCCTAAGCATTTTGGATAAGGAGTACTTATGTTGTGTGTGTGTGTGTATATGTTGTTATAAATAATGCTTAGGTCAGTTGGTGGCATGGTGGTTAAGGTGGTAGGATCCCACATTGCCAGCTGTGCAGTTTGAGTTCTGGACCTGGCAGCTCGAGAAATATGCTGGGTGAGTGTGTAGATTGGAAAATTAAAAAAAAAAAAATTTAAAGACTTTGTACCTACAGGGAATAAAATGAAGGGGAGAGGAAAGAGCAAAGAAAAAAAAATTAAAAAAAAACAAAACAAGTCTTAAATACTTCAGAGCCTGATTAACTTTCTCAAGCTAGAGTCATTTGTAATTTATCATAAAACATTTGAGATACATTATTGATACCATTTCTTCAATGGTATCAATAAGTTCTTGCTAATGAGTTACCTAAAATAGATTGAAATATGTATATGTCAGTCATTTTATTGATCTGAGTTAAATTGACATATTTTGGGGGCCCAGCAAGTGACATAGTGGTTAAGGCTCTGGACTCGCGTGTGACCAACTGAGGTTTGAGTCCTGGAGCCGGTGGCTTGAAACTCAGGCTGTGTGTGTGTGTGTGTGTGTGTGTGTGTGTGTGTGTGTGTGTGTGTGTGTTTACC